TATCGGGTTGTTCACTTGGAAGTGAACTCGTTACTTGTATCAAAGATGTCAAACAAATATGATAAGATTGATAACTAAGTTGAGCACGAAGTTCCTATCTAAATGGCAGACGTGCCAGTCTTATATAGAACCTTCGTTCTCTGTTGGATCGCACACATCGCTTTCGTCGCTCGCGACTTGGGCGATCTGGGCGATCACGGTCACGTGATCTTTCCTATGCTAAGAAATCCCTGGACCGCTTAGCTAGCCTAAGCATCCCTTTTTGCTATAAGAGATATGATAGTGCTTAACCTGTCAGGGCGCCGCCTGGTCTTCACTTGTCACATGCTTACACGTGATTCGTGACAAATAGACCTAAGTTTTATTTTATAGCTACTATTATAGTGGTAGTAGAAGTTAGATATTATAAATATATTATAATACTACTATAATTATAACTATACTTAGGTATAGAACTATACGAATAATATTAGAAGACAAGGGTATAATATAGAATAGATAAGCTAGAATATAGAGAGAAGCTAGCTAGGGAGTAAGAGAGTCTTTATAAGACGACCCTAACTAAGTAGAAGCCGCTAGAATACTAGGTAACTACCTAGGTGACCGAGATAGGGGTTAGGTAGCTAAGATAAGAGTCTTATACTATAATTGTGACGGAGCTGGATTTCATTTGACAGGATTTCATTCGCTTGGCCAAGCACGTGACGAGACTTGGCATTGGAACAACTTAAATAACTTCGCTCCTTTCAGATTTTCTTCTCTCTTTAGTTTGATTTCTTCGTACCTACGGTTTTAGTTCTAGCAATTGATTCAAAAGCTGTATACACTTTATCCTTCGTTGGCATCCGTGACAATAATAAATATAGTATATAAAATACTCTAATTCTAGCTATTTAGAAGAATTAAACTTAAGTAGCTTTACTACTTCTTAATTATAGTACTAATATCAATATTAATCTAAGTAGAAGCTCCCTCGGTAATATTTAGGGTCTACCGTTACTTAATACCTTAGATAAACAAAATAAAATTACAGTTGACGCTATTTTAAACTATAGATTAGATATATTAGAAGTTTAAGATATAAGTAAAAACTACGTACTCGTAGCTAGAAGATAAGGTAACGAGTCTATAATTTATAATTAGTCTTTATAAGGGCGTTAGGTAATATAAATTATCTTACTAAGTAGTTAATTTCATTAGTAGAGATAGGAGATAAGAATAAGATAACGAAATAACGAAATAATAGAGTAAGTTTAAACCTAGAGCTTAAAGTCTTTAATACGACATAATTAAGAACTACTCTTAATACGGCTATTATTATTAAAGACGTTAATATAATTTAGCTTCTAATTAATTATAAGGCTAACCTATAGAATAAAGTAGCTTTTAAGTTAGTAATAGATATAGATAAAGGTATCGAACCCTGTCCTCCATCAGCACCTTTGGATTGGCACCACCCAGCCCACTATATTTCACAGTTAGCTTGCCACCAATTTCACGTTTGAGAAAGGAGAGGTGCTCACACTGCCAGACGCAATGAGGGAAGCCACACTGTTGCATGCAGGGACCAACGGATCGTCCTTGGACTGGCAATCAGTGCAACCATTGTGTTTAGCAAGGTCACATACTCCTGAAGTTGGTCCACTGGCGAAATCCCCCTAAAAAAGTTGTTAGAGATGCAGTTAAGAGATCGTGTAGAGGAGAGAAGGAGATGAGTAGGAATTGAGGATCTTGGGATAGACGAAGACTCGGTGACCTATGTCTTTTATACAGCCTGCTGAGCCCCAATCACAGTAGACGGTTTGCGCCAAAGTAGCGAGGATCAAAATTGGTGGGAGTTACATTTTCTCGATGCTAGGAACAATCTGTTGGATAAGGCTAGCGATTGAATAAGTTGTGGAGGGAGCGGGTTGGTTGTTGCAGTTGAACGATGCGGACGCAAAAGTAGGGGAAGTTGCAAATATAAATATGCTTCGTTGAACGTCCGGCTGTACCGAATCTAAGTGAGGGCAAAACTTTAGTATGGAAAATGACGTTCAAATTTCAAGTTGTATTTTTTGACATTATGTCATAAAAGGATGAATTCCAAACGCGGAGCCTAATTTCCTTGGTATAACTAGGCTAATCCCTATACTTAAGCAGGGGAAAGAACACGTCCGGTTGATCGAATATAATGAACCCCCGATTCGGGTATACTAAGCTCAAGTACTATATATAAGCACTGAGGAAACATGCAGACCCCTAACCTGTTTCTAACAGGAAAGGCACTACCTTTCGTATTTTTAATAATGAGAATCCAGATAAGTTGCGGAGTAGTAAACTACTTCTACGAAGTAAAACGAAAAAAAGAAATGGAATTTATTGAAAGGTACAAAGTTTGATTTTAGGTATAAAAGACTTGAATAGAGTAGTTAAGTAAGCTAGGCAAAGGACAAATACTGGACGAACGCCTAGTTATATAACGAGTTTCAACAGGCCAGATTATGAGGCGTAAGAGAACACACTCGCACTCTAGAGGACTCGCACTATAATGCTTAGGCGTAATGCAATGGTCACTCTATTCTCTATCTATTTCTGCTATGAAGAATTTCTTACGGTTTACGATTTACAATTATCTCGTTTCCGACATAGTGTGAAATTGGGATGCCGTAAGAGACGAACAGGTAAGCGAGGAGGGATATAAGCGAACCTTTTACCACCGAACGAGATGATTTAATATAAAATAATTGACTATCCCTCCGTAATCGATAGCGTTCAGTACAAAGTACTAGGCAGATTAAATCGAGCACATAGAAGCCAAGTGTAGGAAGCTAACCACCACAAACTTTAGTAAGAAGAAGTACCATAGGCGAGCATACACTATGCAAGCAATTGTCTTATCTCAACCCTAAGCACAAGAAGAGAATATTTCAGGGTGAGCACTTAGACGAGCCAAAAGCCTTGGATATTTACTACGGCTCGTACCGTAGTAGAGGAGGGGTTGGTTGGTATTCGTATTCTGTATGTACCTAGCCTAGGTATATAATATCGTTGTTGGACAACGGGCTTCGCAACACGAGTCCAAGGCCGTGGAATGACTGGTTACTCACAGCTTCCTGGCATGGAACAAGGAAAAGTTTTCTACGATGCAGTAAATATAGGGAGAGATAGGGAGAAAGTAGAGAGGGGAGAGGCTATGTGTTGTTCATTGGGGCTATATGTCGATGATCCATCGGGCGGTGCAAGGCCGACTTGTTGGTTGGTATTCAGCTGGTGCGTAACACAAATATTTGAGACCGCTGATATGAAAATTTGACGATACATACTATTACTTCAGTAAGTGAATACCAGATACCCGACCTGTCCTGACCACCTTCACTTATACAATCCCGCTTATACTGTAGATAGCTTCATATCCTACACCTACATTTTATTCTCCCCCATATTCTAACTCTCTTATCATTTACTCCGTACACGCCCAAATCTAGTTGTGATGTTTCCGAGATGACCTTTTTCACCAAGTCGTTTCAAAAATAACTTGATTTTTGGTATGCCCTCGCTTTCACATACCATATCTCTGCTGTTCTCTCAGCCTGCTACAAGTTCGACGGCTCGACCACCGTGGGAGACATTCCCACGGAACGCGGAACGGACACTTCTATCAAAGTAAAAAAGTGAAAAACAAACTAAAAGAGCCTTAAATACGTGTGATTTTTTCGTACCTCCTATGTTAAACTCTTACCTATCCCTTACGTACTACCTTAGATTTTAAGTCTTGAACTAACTTACCTAGTACTACTTATCTACCTACTATTACTGCCCCCCTTATCGCCTCCCTATAGTACCCTAATAATATATAGAGTATAATAAAGAGGTAGGTAGGTAGGTAGGTAGGTAGTAAGCCGGTAGGTGTGAGAGGCCAGACCTCGAACAACTCAAAGGTGTGGGTTCAATATTCAATTAAGAACTACGTGGTCTGTAAATACATGTTCCTCCTCTACTCTTATACTAAATGTAGCATTTCCATTGCATTCAACACTGTTCCATAGTATTACCAATCTTCTGCTTCATAGCATTCTATCTTATTCCATGGCGTTCCAGAGGCGGGGTCGCTTAGCTTAGCGAGGGCTCTAGGCCCGAGCCCCACTATGGGTTCTAACCCTCACAGTAGGGTGTTAGATAGTTAGAAGAAGTAAAGCTATTGTAGATTCGTAGGGTAGAGCTTAGGAAGTTAAAAATAATACTAGAATATAGCTTAAAATAACTAGTTAACGTAAATTCTAAATAAAAGTCGAGGAATTTAGCTATATTCCTAGTAAACCCCTCCCTTACTACCTTAGAATAGCCTTAACTTCCCCTCCTTCTTCTACTCCTCTTCCCTCTTTTCTCTACCCTTAGCCCTTACTAATTATATACTTGTCTATTATATATACTTATATAGGCACGGGTACGAAGATAAGTACGAATATAAACACTAATATAAGCTCGAATATATAGTTCTAGGAAATAAGAGCTTATTCTACTATTGTTTAAAATAATAGAAGCGATTCCTATACTACTTGCTAGGAAAATAGAGAGTAGATTTCAACTTTAGTCGGTTCTTTACTTTTTCACTTTTCCAGTTTGATAGAAGTGTCCGTTCCGCGTTCCGTACATTCCATGTCAAGACACCGCAAGCAACACGACATGTTACCCTCCAGGCTACGCGTGTCTGAGCATTCGAGTGTGCCAAGCAACCGCCTTGGTGGTAGGAAATCTCGAGACGAGTAATTACCTGCGAGGAAGCTGTACCGACAACACTTGGAAGTCACCGTTCTGTCCCAACTTTTGTATTAGAAATCAGCCGCCTTATTTCGAGGTTACGAGTGGCTATAACCAAATGGGACGGTGCGATGAGCCAGCGCCCAATTTGTTCTATTGCTTGAATGGCATTAATACAAATTTACGCGTAAAGAATTGTTCTGGGATCGATAGTTGGTTTGGTCTTCCTGGTACGCTCAAGTGCATGGGGGGTTCTTTCTGGTATGGATCTGACCCATTGGAGGGACCTTTGATGTTTTGACGACCGTGGGCCTTGCGCCGGATATAACATTGACGAGCACATCGAATTCCGTTGTACAGAGAACGACTACCCCCTTAACTTTATCCAATGTTGCTACTACTTCTCCGGTTAACAGTGAACTCAGGAGTTCAAGCACATTTGCAATTGAAACATCTTCAACGGCTTCGAGTACATCGACCCCTGTACCAACCACGATCTCAGAGCCGGTGGTTGCCAGTAACAATAACCCGAAAACGATAGGGATCGGAGCAGGTGTTGGGGTACCGGCAGGACTGGCTCTCGTTGGGCTCGTTGGGTGGTTGTTTGTGAGGAGGAAACGAGGGGAACATGGAGTTGGAATGGGACCAGGGGGGAAGAAGCTGGGGGACATTTAAGTGGAGATGGTAACTCTGGAGAAGGTGGGGTAGTTTCAGCACCAGAAACAGGAGAGAGGTTGGAATTGCATTCGGCGAGAGGGATTTCGGAATTATCTGGTTAGGTTGGCAGAAGGAAGATGGCGTTGAAGATGCAATTCCTGCTATTGGAGAGGGTGGTAAATCTTACTGGTCGCGTTGACTATGGCACTGTTCGACATGAACTACCGACAAGGGGAGGGGCATGAGGATATATTTGGATGGGCAATGATATTACCTTGGGGTAAGGGTAAGGGTAAGGGTAAGGATACTCAAGTAATATTTATGATACTGGATGGCTGCAAATGCTTTGGTAACTTGATAGAAAAAATATCAGTCAAGGCTTCATAATGCTTTGGCTCTGGCATGTTATTTGCTCGGTAGCTAGGTTCGCTTAACTGAAGAGCTCTTCTTCTTCTTGCACCACGGCCAACGTGTATTTCGTTTCATGTCGTTTCCCCTACCATGGTCTGTACATATACCTAGGTCCTAGGTGTCTACTCTTCTCTCCTCCCTAAGTCCAAGGCGATGAATATAAGCCTAGGACCCTCTTTTGTGCATCGTAGCGCATCGCCAGCGGAAGTTTATTTGAAGTCTTGATTGGAGAGTACTCGTACTCATCTCTTGCGAGTCGCTGTCAATTACTCTACCAGTTAGCCTTGGTAACGCTAAGTCAGCCAGGAGTCAGACCAGTCGATGTCGATGTTCATGTACGAGGATGGGGTGGGAATATGCCGCCGAGATATTCGAGTTCGAGAGCAGAGCTTTGGCCTAACTCTACCTTGCCAAATCCATTGCTTGCCGGGTGGAAGTGATGGAGGACAGAGAATAGATTTAGTGGCAATTATGCCATCGAACTTAGGGCTAACCCTATCAAGGTCCTCGACGCAGGCAGTCAGTTCGAGTATATCACACCTATACTCCGTATCTGTACAGGAACTGTACCTCCGTAGCACTCATAGAGAGGTGCACCAGGTGCACCAGGTGCAAAGCAGAGAAGGCCTTCCGGGTTGCGCATTGACCGTTCCGATAGGGCACCCCCCCTCCCCCCGCTCCTTCAGGGTCATGCTAGCCTGACACACCAACGCTAACACGCCCTGCCCAGTAGCAGTGCCAGTGCACCGCACCAATTGAGGGGCAACAGCGAATCGCGGACGCTAAACAAGTGTCACCAAGATTTTTTTATCATCATCATCCTCCCGCCACCTCTACATCTTCGACTCTCACCGACATCCACACAACACCATCTCCTCCTCTACACCTTTTCTCTACACAATCCAACAGACACATCCGCAATCATGGCCACCCCAACCATCACCTATGCCCTCCCCAAGACTCACCAGGAGGTTCGTCGATCACCAATGACCCCTCTATGCAGAAAAGATGCTGACCCCGCCATGTAGATGCTGGAGAAGTCTCTGTTGGAGACGGACCCGGAGATTGCAGAGATCATGGTACGTACTGTTTCTCTTGTCGTCATTGACAGCAATGACGATCTCGATACGTATATGCTAACATGGCAATTCTCCAGAAACTCGAGATCCAACGTCAACGCGAGTCCATCATCCTCATCGCCTCCGAAAACGTCACATCCCGAGCGGTCTTTGACGCCTTAGGATCTCCCATGTCCAACAAGTACTCCGAGGGTTACCCAGGAGCCCGATACTACGGTGGAAACCAGCACATTGACTCGATCGAGTTGACCTGCCAGGCTCGTGCCCTCAAGGCTTTCCACGTCGACTCGGAGAAATGGGGTGTCAATGTCCAATGTTTGAGCGGTAGTCCAGCAAACTTGCAGGTCTACCAGGCCATCATGAAGCCTCACGACCGACTCATGGGTCTGGACCTTCCTCACGGTGGTCACTTGTCCCACGGTTACCAAACCCCTCAACGAAAGTCAGTATTTGCCACTTCTGAGGGTCCAACATACAATAGTCTAATCATCATCTAGGATCTCGGCCGTCTCGACTTATTTCGAAACCTTCCCATACCGTGTCAACCTCGAAACGGGAATCATTGACTATGATCAATTGGAGCAGAATGCTTTGATGTACCGACCCAAGGTTCTCGTGGCCGGTACCTCTGCCTACTGCCGTCTGATCGACTATGCTCGCATGCGCCAAATTGCGGACCTTGTCGGCGCCTACCTGGTAGTTGACATGGCTCACATCTCTGGTCTTATTGCTGCGGGTGTCATCCCAAGTCCTTTCGAGCACGCTGACATCGTTACCACCACCACCCACAAATCTCTCCGTGGTCCTCGTGGTGCCATGATCTTCTTCCGAAAGGGCGTCCGCAAGTTTGATGCCAAGACCGGAAAGGAGACGCTCTATGATCTTGAAGGCCCAATCAACTTTTCAGTCTTCCCAGGTCATCAAGGTGGTCCTCACAACCACAGCATCACCGCTCTTGCTGTTGCTCTCAAGCAGGCTACCACCTCTGACTTTATCGAGTACCAAAAGCAGGTGGTTAAGAACGCCAAGGCTATTGAGGTCGAATTCAAGAAGCTCGGCTACAAGTTGGTTGCTGACGGAACTGATTCCCACATGGTCCTTCTTGATCTCCGACCTCAAGCACTTGACGGTGCACGTCTGGAGACTGTTCTTGAGCAAGTCAACATTGCCTGCAACAAGAACTCCATCCCAGGTGACAAGTCCGCCCTCACCCCTTGCGGTATCCGTATTGGTACACCAGCCATGACATCTCGTGGTTTCGGTGAGGACCACTTCACCAAGGTCGCTGATTACATTGATCAATGTATCAAGATCTGCAAGGAAGTCCAAGCTGCTCTTCCCAAGAGCGACAACAAGCTTAAGGACTTCAAGGCCAAGGTCTCCAGTGGCGAGATCGAGAAGATCAACGAGATGAAGAAGGAGATTGCCACCTGGGCTGGATCCTTCCCTCTCCCAGTTGAGGGATGGAGACAAGAGTAGATGATGTTTGTAAATGAAAAATGACAATTTTCTTTTTGGTGGGCGTTTGTGTTAATAGAAAAGAAGCATTTGGGAAATGTCTTTTTTTTTACATCGGCAGGCGCAGTTCTTGGCTACTTCAACGCAGCTAGATATCACGGAGTTCAATGGGCATTCAACGGCTTATGTACCCGGTCATTTGAATGATTCTTTTTCATCGGTTTCATGTTCAACATAGCATTAGATAGAATGCAGAGAAGCACAAAACAAACAATCGCTAGCGGCTGAATACAATAAATATTCTTCGCATATGAGCTCTATTTTGCCATCCCTAACTTCGTTGAGGAAGTACAAAATTTGGTGTTTTGCTCTTCATGTACGTGACCCATCACCCAGAAGTGGGAGAACTAAGTTTTCTTACCCTGGGTACTATTGGATGGAGGCGTAAGTTACAGGTTTTTGTTTACCGCATTATGACCAGCGAAAGAAAGAACTACTCGACTACTTAAGTATATCCGGGTTATACTTGATTAGGTTAGAGTAGGTTTGAGTAGGTGGTTTAGTTAAGGGGGTTAGAGTAGTGGATTCGACTACTTGAGTAATACGTCAGTAGTTTTACTATAAGTAGTAACTAAAGTACAAATAGCTAGTATTTGCAAATATTTTCTTGCTAAAATAGATTAGATAGTATAGCTACCACTATTTGCCTTCTACTAGTTTAAAGAAAGAGTCTATAGAACTAATTAGAAAAGAGTTTAATATATATAAAGCTTATATAAACTTACTGTTCGAGGAACTCGCTTATATAGTCGGCAAAGTCCGATTAGGTGGACCGACAAGCCGGAACCCCTGGGCGCGCTACGGAGCCTGGGTCCGAGTTACTCCGTACTACTCAAGTAGTACTCTAACCTACTCAACTCTTGGCGAGTAGGTTAGAGTAGGGCTAAATCCTACTCAAGTAGGGTTGAGTAGGTGCTCCTACTCGACTCTACTCTACTAATTCTGTTCGCTGATTATGACTTACGATAGGGATTTTTTTTTTCTAGATAGTTCATTGAGCAGTCACCCAATTGATCGAGACTTTGCTCTAGGCAGCTGAAAAGGGGTTTGGTGTAGGTGGAGACGTGGATTGATGGGCGCTTCTATTTCTTTATTCACTTCTGGTACTCTGTGAGTTCGTGCTTGCAGTGTGAGAGGGGTTTCTGTGCATTTTGTGATTTTGTTAGAACAAGATCTTGTCGATTTATGAGGTGTGGTTATGGATAGGAGTTAGTGAGAGAGAGAGAGAGAGAATGGATTTACAGGAGGTTATTGGTGTGGCTTTGGTCTCCCCTTACATTCCATTTTACAGACAATAAGCGAGGGGTTGAGATCAAGTCAAGTCAAGATATTATAAAGATAATTCGTTACGATATATTGTGATAAACTATTGCAATGATACAATAAATATCGCCACCGTGCCTAGGTCTGTACACAATAAACCTTGATTATCTTGGTCATGTTTACCTGCCCTTCAAAAGGGTGGATTGGGGGCTGAGCGCACGTTCTTCATAGAAACACCATGTTAGTTATTACCGAACACAGGATTCGGTGCGTTTGGAGTCAGAGATAGCTTACACTAGAAACGCAGAAGGCGGTAGTCTTGCAGAGGTAGCAGATTGTACCTTTCTCGCAGCGTTTTAGGTAATGATTGGTTATCTTCCCGCATTCATCGTCGGTGTCTAGATGGAGTTTCGTAGCTATTAAGTGTCGGTTTCTGTAGAGAAATTTCGTCTTCGGGTTTGTTTTTGAGGCCTGGGGATTCTTTGTGTTAGTTGATAACATCAATACAGAACATGAATGGGACGTTGGTAAGGGACGACTTACACTCTGAGGTTTCCAGGGAGAACCGAGACACGAAATCATGCATGTATCTTTCTTCTCATCGCAGTCATGGGCGCAGATACTGTCATTTCGGGTACAGTCTGCTTTACACCCCAAGGTCTCGAGTCCACATGTTTGAAGGCATGCGGGATAATGGTCCCATTGTGATTGAGAGGCCACAAGGTGGAAATATGATAGCGACAGGAATATTATGTGAGTCAAAGAGCGCATTTTGTTATTTTGAGTTGTAAAGTGTTGAGTTGGAGTGCTGTGTATTATCGGAATGCTCGCCTCTCTATATGTTGAATTACTTGAATATTACAAAGTAACGTGAAAGAGTTGTACGAGACGGTTGAAAGATGATGATGATGACGATCGTCAAGGTTGAGTAACCATGTAGGGGGTGGATACATGGTGACAGATGATCGTCGTGGTTGTAAGATACCTGGTCACTACTCTGCACACACTATATAAAACTGTATTGTACTAAAGTTGTAGTACAAGCACGATAATTGTCTTAGGATACCTAGGTTAGTGAAAAGTAAGACTTAACAATTATGCAAGTTCTTTGTATAACTATTTTAGCTGTACGACGTTTTGAGAATAATTTTATTCTAAGAGAGGTGTGCCCAGAAACACGAGAATCTCGCCAATTCCAGGATGAATAAGCCACAAAGGTGTCTTGGATCCTTTCTTTTGCAAAGTAACAACCGGATTGTACTCGGTTTCACATATTTACGTTTGAATTTGGTCAATGGCTTGCGCGAGGAAGCGAATTGTGGTATGTGACATAATTGTTACCATAGGAATCTTGCCTTCTTCCATGTTGAATGCTTTCTCACAAGCGCCCCTTAGCCGAAGAAGATCAATCGAAGTGACGCCAGCATCGAGGATGGGAGTTTTAACGCTCATACCGATGTCAGGGTCACTAGGACCGAGTACATCAAGGAAGACGGCCATCAGATTTCGCTCGGTCTTGTTGCATGGTTCTGAAAGGTGCGCCTCTCGATATGAACGCAGCATATTGGCATCCAACTCTTCCTCGTCTCTGTAGTTGCCTTGGCTCAACGAATCACGTATCTTAGCTCGAGATATTTTTCCAAGTGTCATTTTGTGCATTCGGCCTGGCGGCAGCGGAAGGACTCGTGGCCTTGTACCAGCGAATAGAGTGACTGTGCGAATGATAGACTGGAGGGTTGCCATACGAGCTTCGACGTCCTTGGAATCATATTCGTGCTGGTATACAGCATATATTTCTTCGGAACTTGCGTGGGCAGATCGATAAGCGAAGCAGGTGACGAAGGATGATGAGATTCCATTTATCTTCGCATGCAATATGGCGGTCTCCAATTCGTGGGGAATGTATTTCACCCCGTTAATAATAACCAATTCTTTCGATCGACCAACAAGCTCTAGATTTCCATCCGCATCAATAAAGGCCATATCCCCTGTTTTAAACCATCCGTCCGATGCAAAAGCTTTTTTGGTACTGGCCACATCGTTGAAATAACGTTCGAAAACTACGGCCCCTTTAATCTCGCGAATCCCTGTCGTTGCGGTGGTAACTGGGTCGTTGGGTTCAGGACTGTCCTCCACTGGTGCAAGCCGCATTTCGATACCCGATATGCATTTCCCAACCGAAGCAAACTGACGGACCATCATAATATCCATATCAGGACACCGATGGTTGAACATAGCCCCAGCACAAGTTTCTGTCATACCATAACCGTTACTACTTTCAAGTTTTCCTGGACGCCGAATCTAATGAGTTGGCCGTAAATTCGGACACATGTATCGATACTGTTTGCTTCTCCCCCAGAGGCTAAACATTGACGCTTAGAAAGATCGATTCCCTCAACTTCCTTGGCAGAAGCTGTCTCCAGAACACTCTGAAGCTTGTATAGGAAGAAATTTGGCGCAAAGGTCCGTCAAACATTGTGCTTAGATAACAGACGAAGGAAGGATAGAGGGTTCCCAATCATCTCAACGGCTGGAGCATGGACTTGATCAAGGCCGGCGAAAATTGCGCACAAGTGTATCTCAACCAAACTTGCAACCCTTTAAAGGCACGTGACGTTAGTATTTGTAAAACTGGCGAGGAAGAGTAAATTCATAATCTATGACTCACTGGTCGAGTGCAATCCAGTTGAAAATGGCAGTTCCTGGTGCAAGCGGCATTGCGGATAGTTTTCCTCTGAGAGCAGCATATATCTGCTTATGAGTCAAGCAAACTGCCTTGGAGTTGCCAGTACTTCCCGAAGTGAGCATAAGAACTGCCACCTCATTGGTAGAGCATGATGAATTGTCAAATCTTTCATCTTGTGGGCTGTTCTCGCCCGATTCGTCAAATTTGGCGCTAGTATCTGGTTTCGCATAGCTCAACTTCTCGATATGCTCTACTGGAATGACTTGAAGAGCGTTGTTGTCGGAGAAGTCCGTATCCACAAGTTCTTCGCTCCCTTGTTCATTCTTTCGCAGCAGTGGAGGTACGGTGTTTGTCTAAAGCTGAAAAATGGGGACAAGCATCCGACTTGTGCATGACTTTGGGACAAGCGAAGGACAAAGTTGTATGTATTGGGGCTTTTACCTCTCTCAGTTCTAGGCTAATTTAGGTATGATTACTGTGGTATCATTCCCTGAACGACCTTTGAGACGTCTATTGGATTGTTTGGTAACGTGCTATACGGAATCATGGATAGCTTGAGAATTTGTAAGTTACTTAATTACATACTTGTAGTCACTCCTGATATACCCAAGAGTAAAAGCCAGTAAGCAGTTCCAAATGAAGAATATTCCATTGGAGGTGTTAAGCAGTAGGTTTCATACGCGAGCAAATCAAGTACTAATTTCTCACACTTCCTCTTAATATTTCATATTAGTCAAGAATGTTTTTCCTAACGGTAGCGGTATCTAAAGGGGCTAGACAGCTTATAGTCATACCCTGTAAATTCATAGTATGTCTCGGCCCCGGTCTTTAGTAAAACTAGCGAATCAGAGACTCGGATGACTTTTCTCGCGTTTAATCTACGTAGTATAAAATAGTCTTATCTATCTACCCCCTTTATTTAGGGTGCATTTGGCTCAGAAAGTGGAATCAGGCTTTTCGGTAGCGTACCCCTGAAATCACAAAACTTGCAAAACTCTATTCGCCTATTAAATATAGCTCTGAATAATTCGGAGTTATTTTCGATTCGAATTCCGTTTGGATAGACTTATTATTATTATATATACACGTAGAATCACTAGTCTTTAATTAGTAGTGTTATACTATATAGCTGCTAATATTATACATAAATATATAAATAGATACAACTACGTAATACTATATTTAAATCTTTGAATATATACTTGTATATAGGATAGGCAATAGTATAATAGTTGGAAGAATAAGCGAGTTAGGCTCGAAATAAGGGGTTTTGTTAATCTAGTATGATCCTCTCGCCTCGATAGAGATTTATTCCTCGCACCTGAGACTCTCATACTAAGACTGGGTTTTTCTCGTCTTTCCTTTTTGTACTACTTATTCCGTATTAGGCTAGATTACTTTTTCGGAGTGGTACTAGTTTTATTTTTATAATCGACGCGTAAGCCAAATGGAACTAACATTCGGTACGAGGTAGAAGTCGGATTAAGTATAAAACTTTAATTTGTATGGTAGACCGTACACAATTATTCCGACTCAGGCCGAGCTAAATGGACCCTTAACTTACTCGCCAAGTAATCGACTTACTTCGAAGTGAAGGGACCGGACAGCTCGGACAATCCACTTTAAAGACTAAATTAATATAGTCCTATATGAATCGCAGAACGTAATTGGCTTAGAAGGCCATGTTGTAGAGTTATACCCTGCCTATAGCAGTTGTGTTACAGGGGGGTTTGCTTAGCTATCCGGCCTCTCCAAGTAGTACTCAAGTTATTAACTAGTTTGTTCGAACACCGAAATTTATTCTATTTTCCTATTCGAATCATAAATAGCGAACACGTATAGCTTCTGCAATAATAAACTAGACAATATTGTAAAGTACTAGATAATACTCTCCCTCCCCTCTGTAGCAGATCTAGTAGAGGGTATTTCTGATAGCGTTATAGACTACATTTTATGTGGCGAAAATACCGTGCTTATACGTCTATAAAGTAGTATAATTCATGATTGACGTTTATTTCTAGGAAGAGTGTACATATAACACTTTTCGCTCTGTAGCCAGTAAGAAATCTATCGGCCTGCAACTTTCTTGGCTGTCAAATTGACTTCAAAGTAACAAAGTACACACAGCAGCTGCAAACCTTGTAAGGAAAATCTGCTGTTATAGGCGAAACTCGATACCTACGAGGATTTTCTCGGGTAGGGATCCTCTTAGAACATAACAAAGGATATCCTTATAGCGAGTTCCTTCGTATCGGCGACGACAAGGTTATATATATCTAAGTGTTAGGGCTGTAGAGTATAGTACTTAGTAGTACTTAAATTGGTCAAGTACTAGACGTATAGTCTTCTAAGATTTTGTATATAGTTCTAGTTTTTATACCTAAATATACTTGGATTTTACTTAAGATTACTTATATCGAACTAACCTCTCGGGAATCAAGTGGCCCTAAGAAATAAAAGCGGGGCTATCTTTTGTGTGAAGAGATTTGGGTCCTCAAAAGACCTAAGGATATCCTTATACGAAGTAGCGAGAATAACCCTAAGTATAAAAATCGGGACCTGAAAATTCAAGGATATATAACCCGGGATATCCTTATAGCAAGTATCCTACGGTAGCATCAACATTCGCCTGCTGCCTGCATGAAAGACAAAGTTGCGAGTTAAAGTATATTTATACTTTATTATCGTACTCGGACAGTAGTAAGGACGAATGCCGAACATCTGGCACAGTCTGACAGGTGTATATTATAACGCTCATGCCCAAAAGTCTTTCAGCACTTCCGAGCCTGGATACCTTCTATTAGCCTCCATCAAAATCCCCTCATCTTGCACACACGGACGCAAACATGAAATCTTCCACTATTCTTGCTCTGTTCCTCTGAGCTACAGCAGCTGTTGCGATGCCGGGATACCTCCAGAAACGTTGTATTCCTGAAGGGGCTTGTTGGGGTGGAAGTTTTGATCAATTTGATTGCTGCGAAACCGATGTTGTCGCCAACGATCAGGTGTGTATTTCATTAATTTGCTCATTATTAAGGTCACTAGAGTAGATTCTATGTGCTAACTACAATTTTCACAATAGGGTTGCTGCCCTTACTAAACGCCTAACATGGGTTCTTGGGTGAAGCTTTGATACAGCGGAGGTTTTTTTAGGCAATGATGGCGCTGGATATACTCGGATGGATGAAGATGTGAAAGATCAGTTTTTGTATTTGTATGGGCTAGGCGGTAGCCCAGTCTCACAATCGTCATAACAACACCGTCGTTACTCGTCTCTTACTATCAGTGTCTATGTAACAAATACATTGAAATGGTGTTTGCGTGGAGCTAAATTGGTAATGTGCCATGACATTGGTAAATGAATCCCGGTATCTTGTTCGAAGTCTATGTAATTTGGCTTCGTAAGTCAGTATTCAGGTACTCTTAAAAACCCGGCCTCAGCGTTCCATATTCAGCAATCGTTGGACTGGACTGACATCCTTTCTTTTACGTAGAAGAGCAACTCTCAGACCCTTTCAACTCTCTTTCACTTATCTGAACCCTTTGAAATTCTAATACAGCCGCAAATTACCCGCTGCCTAACCGAATTAACAGGTAAGTATAAAACTACAACAAAATCCTAATCTTGGGCTTCACAAAACCTACATTGATCCCTCCATAAAATCCAGTAACAGCAGAAAATTCCAACTAGACTCACTGAATCTGAATTCCGACCTCAGCGACAAGGCATTATACAGCAGTACCTTATCTGACCTAGGTACCAAGAGTCCATCATCATGATTGCTGCAAAACGTTGTAGAAATTATGTCCAAATCTTATACGAGCTGACGCAAGAGTATTTTTAATGGTAAAAAGCTACCATAATCGTCTATCCAAAACTATGTCATTGAAGTTGTTGGAGTTCTTACAGTATGACAGCAAGTTGTGGCAAGTTCTTGAATTATTTCCTATGTAGGCACAACCCCACAATCGACCATCACACCGATGATCGTAGAATTGAAATAGAAATAAACGGGTCATCCGATCATCTTTTGCAATCAACTGAGGTCGCACAGCCTCAATCCAACAGCAAAGATCACAGCCCCCGCCACTCCGTCGATCCCCTCTTCCCATTGGACCCAAGCCATCCCATCGAAAAACGCCACAACCGAGCTCAGAAACACCCACTATGCCATCACCGTTTTAAACTCCCCATTCGTCTGATGAAGCATGAAAACATTTGGTTTCAAGCCGATATTTTCATTTGGGGTGGTTTTGCTCGGCGATATGGGGATTGGAATGCTGGGATCACAGATGATTTTGCGGTGCAAGGCTCGCTTTAGGAAAGAGAGCAAGTGAAATCTGCCGCACCAAGTTATCCAATTTCACGAATGCAGCGAGGATTCCCGGGTTTTGAATCCTTTGACGGCACGGAGAGATAAAATTATGCGGGGAGAAGGGAGATCTTATGCAGGGAAGGTGCTTAAGAGAGACTGTGATACGAGCTTGTTTGAGTAACGAAAGAATCATTGGACGAGCCTCCATGTGGTAGAAACTTAATAGAAGTGATAGTTCGAGCATTCGAATCAGGAAATAAACATGGCGATAAAGGCATTTGATAGAAGAGTTTTCTCGTAAAGCAAATTGCGTCAATTGCTATAAAATAGCTTTTCAAATTGCATGACCGGGCTCATTGTTTTCGAAGTTTAATGTTGCTACCACAAAGAAATCGTATGACTGTCTCAACCTTGGCTGGCCCCCAGAGAAATTCGCAGTGCAACTTGCACTTGGAGAGAAGAAGACGACTGAAGAAATATTCATTGATTCGTGGAGAGAGGCTGAAGCGCACATCGTGACCTTTGTTATCCTCTGCAAACTTTCCCGTTCATGTCCATTGCGTCAATGCGTCCCAATAACTTGAAATCATTTGCCTGAAAAGACTGGGATAGAAAGAACCTCTGTGTGAATAAAATGTCGACCCAAAAGCATTCGTCAGGCATAAGCGCTCCTTGGTCTTGTATCGCATCTCCCATACGTGCTTCTCTCCCACTGAGAAACCACATGGGGAGGAGGTGGCGGGGGCACTGGTGGACTAGCAGCTTGTCGCTCAGCGGCAACTAAATCTGGTACCTCTTCCGTCCTGCTCACTGCCCATCCCAAACTTCTTGGACCTCTTGGAATATCTCCCACGCCTTCTCCCCACGTCCAGGCATCCCATTCATCGTTCCCCAAACTATCGACTGTCATCATGGCTTGGTGCAAATCCTCCAACTCTCGAATACGTCGAGGATCTTCTGCTCGTCTTGGTGATAATGGCAGTCCTATGTCTACGCTACCGATTGGCGAGTTGAAACTTTCCACGTCTGGAGAACGATACCAGGCTGGGGTTGACCAAGGTAATTCGTCTTCGCCCAGTCTAAAGCGAGATGGCTCTGGCGGAAGCGGTCGGTCTCTCGACTCTACCCGATTACTATTTCGAAAGGACAACTCATTCCAAGTTGTGCTATTTCTATAGGTTCCAGTAGACATGGAAGAGACTGGGCTTAGTGGTGGCAGAAAAGGGGGAGCAGAGCTTCCTCGCTCGCGTGATCCCCTCGAAGAAACAGTCAAGGTTCTAGAATGTTGACGATCATGTTGTATTTGTTGATGGCGGTGAAAGTGTTGTTGATTTTGTCGGAGTTGCTGTTGGTCAATCTCCTGTTGTCCTCGATCCCCACCCGACAGTAAACTCTCTTGTCCGTTTCCCATAAACTCTTCTCGTCTATGGCGTTGTCTTCTCTCGTTCATAGTATTCGATGTGTATTTCATGGATCTTATGTGCGGCGGATCGTTTTGGGAGAAGGATAATCCAAATTCAACATTGACATGTATTGCTGGAGACGGCCATCGAGATGACTTTTGAGGCTCCAGGTTCGCCATGATGAAACGTAATTGATGGTTCTGCAGTGCTATCGAGATGAAAATGATGGAGACGGAACGATAGGGATCAGGAGAACGATTTTGGTGAGGGGACCTCAAGAGAAGATCGAATATTAATGACCTGATGAGTTTTGAAGCGGTCCGATTTCACCAAGTCCATCTATATAGATGGCGTGAACCTGTATGTTTTGATGAAACATTCCAACGAACAGCAGATACAAAGATAAAAAGGAACTGGGATCCTCTTGAGGGGGTGGTAGGGAGGGGCAAGCGAATGGAACAGGGCGTATCGGGTGTTGTGGGAGGCCGCAAGAAGCTAGTCTGACTTGCGAAGAGAGACGGAGGAGTGCCGGCAGACACGAAGGATGCACAGGGGCAGTGTTTTGATTGTCCATGCGCGCGCCATGGTGACTCATATGTATATGAGGGAATGTAGGGTTGATACTTATTGTCTTTCCTCGCAAATTAAATGAAAAATCCAACAAGGGCGTTGTTCCGTTGCAAAGTGCTGGTGCGAAGGGCTCTCTCTTTTTCGATACTCGATTAATGAGCACCCGATCCAGAACTGGAAAGTATAGATCCGCTACTGTTGGCGATGAAGGTTTTTTGAAGAACCCGGGGTTTTCCAATTGTTTTTGTCAGTACCTCCACAGAAAGTATTCTAGATCTCTGACCAATGGATTCCGATTCATCTCGCGTTCGGTTAGTGATGTTTTTACGGAGTATTCCCACGCCAGAGAATTGTCCCCCGCTAACACCGCCACGAGCAGGTTTCATTTCTTTTTAAGACCAACGGCTCTTGGAATAGGACTCTGAATGCGGTGGATGATTTTCCATGGATGTTCGAGCGAATGAGGCCGTTGGCAAGCTACATTGTACCGGTTGGGTGCTGACCAGAGCTACCCGGATCATCTGTTTGTGCTACCGTCCCATTTAGGCCTCAAGCGACTTTTACATCTTTGCGATAGTATAGCCTCATTAATAGGGTCCTCGCGTGGTGCAACTACAATCGTGTTCTTTCTCCTGAATGATAGAATGTTGCTGCCGCGGAAGATGATGTTGGTTGTTGTTGGGTAAAGGCTTATGGTAAAGCATTGCTGGGAATGGTGGCTTGTAGTTCCCAATGCCACATCTGACGCTAGATCTGACATAGATCTTACTTAAACATCAACGTCAGTGAGGCTCTTTTACGAAAGTTGTACCCACTCATTAATTGGAATTCAAGATCATCGCCCAAACAAATGTAAAGGTGTGCTAAAATAATTATGTTGGTTAGGTTGTCGGGATGCCAAGGACCTTGGAGTCGGTAGCTTTCTAAATTTACACTGTGGCGGTCGTTAGTGCTCCTAGAGCCCACTATTTCCATCTACTCATTTCACTCCTCCGAGACCCAACAACCAAAAAGGGAAAGTCAACTCATACCACCGAAAATCGTGAACCATTCGCTTCTTTTTCTTTCTTTTCGGATACAAAATACACTCCTGTGAAATTTGGGTCGTCACCTCCTACGACAAACAATAGGAACCCTGGTCGGGATTTGTAATCAATCCTTCGCTTGAATCCGACAGGAATTGACGAATAGCGACACGGACTCCTCCCATGAGAATCATGGCAAGAGTTACAGAGAAAACTTCACCACATCCCTGGAAATAATTACACAGTACGAGATTCATTCAATTCGAGGTTCATCAGCGCCTGGGTAGTTCATCGATATTCTTTGAAATAGTGGCAGTTTCATGCGCCTCCTCTCGGTAGCATTGCCAGTGGAGGCTGATAGGAATCGAAAGATGCATTTCATGAATGCCAAAAGCCTCGTTCCTTTAGCAGACAGCCACCTTGCGATACCCTCGGAAGTGAAGTACCTTCCTAAAGCACCCAGACTAAGGCTTCTCGTGACGAGCTCCTATCTCAAACTAGAAAATAATGTGCCAGCATACGATGCTTACGTGGATTCTTCCTATTGATCTTACATCAAACATTGCTTCCTATTGATTGTATCGAAATGTGTCTCGTGGCTACTTGCCTGCTCCAAGGCGCGCTATCTCGCATATTGTTGCGTCCGACTTTCGCACACTAATATCATCAGGACTGCGGGCAACGCTCAGTGATACACTCCTTCTCCTAGTAGTAATTGTACTAAATGCCAATATAATACAACATTTATTTTTGAAACTCCGATGTGAGTGTGATTCTTTCTATCGCACTCGGGATGGGGGTGTGGTCATTGCTGGGCTTTCGCTTGTTTACAGGAGTCTGTTAGGCACTCACCAAGCCACAAGTACACTTCCCCGCATCTGTTGATCACAACATATATGTCTCGTCGTTATAGGTCTGATGGCGGTCTTGGGAGAACGAACTTCTGCATCATCTACTCATACTTGTACTTATCAACGGAACTAAGTGTTGTCGTAGGAAGATAGTGCTTTACATCCACTCAATGGGACAACTACCTTCGTCGAGTCGAACCATTTCCAGGCTCCCATTATACGTATCCATAGATTAGCGACCACCAATCAGTTCACTTCTAGTACGAAGAGGAACATGCCGCAGACTCATCTTGCAGGTGTTGGCGATGCAACTCGAAAACACAAGCCCATACACAAGCCCATTCCGCGCTAGGGTGTGTCCATTTTGGCTAGTTTACCAAAGTATTGCTGGCTACTCCCTTGAAAACTGCAGAATTTCATCATGGGTCTCTGAAAGCATAGAAAATTATCTGTGCAACTTTCCTCACAATAATTTCGTTATAGCCAGTTGTTCTTCCTGCCTTGGCCTCTTTTCGTATGGCCGATATTGCCTCAAAAGGAGATTTTCAAGCAGACTAATTGCTCTTGTCTAAACCTATCTATGCCAAACCATGTTTGCGCTGATTACTCTTATCTCGAGTCCTCTAGATGTCTGAGCCGCTGACTGTGCTAATGAAGGACAGAAAGTACCACACGACTCTCTCAGGTGTTCCGTACGAGACGGTGGCTATCGACATACACGTCATATCTCCAAATCCTCTGAAAGACTTGTCGTTCCTCCCTTGGCTCGAATGATACGATTTCAAATCCATTCCGCTTTCTCAATCAACAAACACTATATCTGGTATAGAATGCTACGCAGAGGTATTAGTGTATAGGGATGACCTCAAGTTCTTCGGGAACGAAGAGACCGAACCTATTTCATCTCAACAAGAAGGATCGAGTCGTCTCCATCCGATATATATATGCAAAACATCTGCAAATCGTCAGAAGGCTCTGTAAGCAATAACTGCGATCTACCACGAGAACCGCCACGATGGATAACCAGCTTCCTTCTCAGATTTCAGCACTTGAAGAAATACATTGAATACTATCGCAGCATACAAATTACGGAGACCTGTATAGACCCTCGAAAACCCATACAGAGTACTGTACTCCAAGAATCGGCTGCGAGCATGCCTCAACCTTGATAACAAGCTCTCCATTCACGACCACCTATACCCTCACTCGCTTTGATCCTCCACACAATCCAGACTCAAACCGCCCCGATATCTGCCAAATGCAAACAATTCGCTACACCCATGAATAGCGTGCTTCTCGGCACCTGGAATCACGATGGGGGTGTGTAGGTGTATCGAAAGACTCGGGGGTCTTGGGGGTCGAGAGTAGGACAAGTGCAGTTATATTACGCAATTTGAACTCCAATGTTTTGTACCAATTTTGGAAGTCCTGGTTATATATCCTCGGTAAGAATAGAGAAGAACCACTTTTATCTGGTTCTAGGGAGGTCTTGCTGGTGTATGAATCTCAATGATGATACCCGTGAAGAGAGATTGGAGGTCCTCGTTCTCTTGGTGCAAAAGTGACAGTGGACCTCATCAACCCGGCTATACATCACCTCGCTCTTTTGTCCTCCTGGTTGTGGCCTGGTTGACACTCACAACAGTCATTCTCTGTTGAGGTAAAGAAGTGTAGGAAGAAACGTCGCAGAAAGATTTCATATACCACATCGTTCAAGTTGGTACTATGTTCCTTTTTCTATTCAGAAACAATATATTGGGGCTTTCCTCCGCCATTGTTTAAGGACTGATTCATCCCTGATCTGATGTAGAATCTGGAAAGCATACTAGGAACAAGTGGTTCCTTGCTTCGTCTCATTGTCATATTGAGAAACCTATCTCCTATTTATCTCACCACTACCTCGGATGATACAACTAGTAACCATAAGGTCTATCAAGATGTTGTGCTGGGTCTACTTTCTCTTTTGCTCCACTTCCTTATTTGATTCACTTATAGCTCTGCTGCCTAAATGCTTCATGTCTGCCTAAACCTTACACTCTTTGTATAAACACCTTAGATAGCTACCTTTTACAATGCAATCAATTCTCCATGACCTTCAGTACCCAATACCCTTTCAACCCAATAGTTATGAGCCCGGTAGCCACTTTTTGACTGCAAAATTTGACTTTTTACCTTCAATTAATTGATTCATCTTACACTTCTCTGCAACCTTTGTTTGTATTCGACTTGCCTCAAGGAGTAGTCACGATAAACAAAGAACCCTCTCGAACTCCCGTCTTGAGGTCATCATCATGTCGACGTCCAAAACCATCA